GATATTCACTTTTAAGGCCGATACAGGCCGATACCGATAGGGGGCCGATTATATCGTGCATCCCTACTTATTTTTGTTCACATATGTTTTGCTTTATATTGGTCTAAATAACATACGGTATGTGGTTCAGCACTCTCTTGAGGAGGCCATAGCAAACCGAAGCAGATTATTTCCTCATGCCTCTACAGATTATTTTTCCAGAAATAGGCCGGGCTGGATATCCTCGGCTATTTTGAGTTCTCAGCTCCGACTTGAGTTAGTCATTAGATGCCATGAGAGTGGGCAGATCAATGCAGCCCATTGATCCATTTTTCTTTCTAGGTGGAGGAGATGGGCCCCAGCACCAAAATAATTGAATAGACTAGAAATAAACATCAGCTGCCTGTGACACAGAAGGTCAAGTCTGATGGTATCTTTGCTCCCTTGCACATTTCTCTATTGTCTTTAAGACGTATTTAAGAACCCTGTAGGAGCAAGATGATCTATTTTGAGAGAAGAACATGTTGTGTAAGATTCTTCGTATGATGGCAACTTAATAATTAAACCTAGCCGATTTAGTGTTAGGTGTAATTTCTTTTTCCCCCTTTACTTTTGGTATACATTTATTTAAAGACCAGCCCATAAAACAAATACACTTAAACAAATTCATGAGGCTTAGTTTATTTCCAGCTGATGGTTTTGGTTTTTGCTGTTAAGCATCTTCATGTCCTCCATCCTCTCCATATTGCCCTATAATCTTAACCATCTTGCTTTTACATTTTTTAAAACATACAATTATTTTCTGATGTTGTTTTTGTTTTTTTTATTTTTCCCCAAATGTTTTTTCTCTTTTTTTTTTGTGTCCCCCAGTAGGAATACGATATTTTTTCCTGAGTAAGATCATTGCATTAAGATATAATTTATTTTCAAGCTTTTCAAACGCCTATAAAACTGTTGGACTCCTTCAGTTGTTTGTTAGCTTTTAGACTTATTCCAGGAGTCTTTTTAAAGTCTTTAACTTAAAATTTTAAATAACTTCAGCCATTCTTTGTCAAAAAAGGTTAATTGACGATTAAGAATCTGTGATTTTCTGTTTGTCTGTACAGCAGGCCCCTGACAGAGTGAGTCAGAGTGATGCTGTGTATGAAGTGGTGAGCCTTCAGAGGGAGGCAGAGAGAAAAAGCGAGGAAAGAGAGCGGGTCACCTCCCAAAATGAGGAAGAAGATGTCGATGAAGGTATGCTCTTTTGAAATAATAAGGGAATATCAATATAAAGGCAATATAAATAAGGGAATTTTCCTTATTTTCTGTTGTTTTTTTTTGGGTTTTTATCCTCGGTGGCACAAAGTCATCCTTTTAAATAAACAGGCATTGCTTCACAATAATGTGTCCTTCATAGTGAGATTGAAAATTGCGTGCACATAGCAGCACTCTTTCAACAAAACTGTTGTCCTTCAGTGAGGAGGAGAAAGAATGGTTACATTCTGAGGCACAACAAAAGAAAAGTGATTCACCAAGATGTTGTAGAGTCAAAGTTTCATTTATTTTTTTCTTTTAGTTGTATATCATTTTGCAAGTTTTAGATCTCTATAGAGGGTTACAAGCACCTTCAATCTCTGTCCTCCTGCAGCAAAGGCTTTGGCTCAAACCCTTGTGTACACTTCACTGACAGAGATTCATCAACAGTAAAGCTAAACTCTGTTGGGCAAGTAAACAGTGGTGATGAAGCGTGCGTATGCATTCATGCTTCTGACATTGTTGATGCCGGCTGTGGATGTGTTGCTTTGTCCACAGCAGTGAGCTGCAGGCCCAGTCTCTGGGGTGGGGGGAGTGGGGGTAAAGAAAGGATAGATGTTTGTGTTAATATGCACGCTTGTGAACGTGTGCATGTGTCGAGCGGAGCCCGGCTCAATCCTGTTAAGGCCTGCAACACTGCAGTGTCGACAACATCAAAGGGCCTTCGTTTTGTACGCTGCTGTTTGGACGGAGTAAACAGGCTCCTTCAGTCAAGGACACCACAGCCATTTGTTAATGTTGCTGTTGAATTTCAGTGATATTATAGAATCGAAAGCCTTATTGCTATTTTTTTCCCTTCTACATTTAAGTAAAGCCCCAAATCATTTATATTTATCTTTAAATTTGACTGAAAGTAAGAATATATTTTTGAGAGAAGCAGCCAGAGTCCTAAATTTAATCTTTTATGGGAATTTGTGCTGCAGAAACATGCAAAAAGCAATTGTAATCAGCATTTATTGGCTTTAATGCCAAAACATGTTTCAATTTATTTCAGATTTTTATTTAAATGTAGATATAAATTTTGTTAAAAAAATGTAGATAAAAAAATGAATATTTTCTTTTTTACAAATTATACACCTAATAGGATCAGATTAATTCTCAATCAGAAATAACCATCTTGGTTCAAAAGGAAATAATCTTCTAACTAAATCTGCCACAGATATGAACAATTATGGGCTATAATTTCTAGATCCATACGTACTCTGCAAACATGTAAAAACACATATTAAGCAAACCACACACACAAAAAAAATGTATTTGACTTCATGTGGGCTCGTTGGTTAAACCGGGAAAATCCACTACAGGGAGCTTTACCAGCACAATTTTTTTCATCCTTATGAATTGACGTTAATACTTAAAGGGAGCCAACGTTAGCACGCCTTGCTTTCATCACTATCTCTTTTAGACCAATCAGGGACTCACCTGTTGGTAGGTTTTGCTGCTTGAGAATTTACCTGTTGTGTAAAATCTTAAAACTATAGTTGAAAAGAGGTCTGATTGAGCTCTAATTTATTTATTTTTGTTCTAAAAATGATGAAACATGAATTTAAAGACAATTTCAGAGGGGCTGCCATTAGAGCTGAAACAATTAATCATGATTAATTGATTATTGAAATAAACGTCAACTAATTTAGTAATTGATTATATGTCATTAAGTGGAGTATAGAGACTGTGAAATATGCTTTTAGCTGACAGAACAACCCACTTAAAGCATTTATTATACCAACAT